ATTTCCAAATGTTCAATCAACGGATTGAACAAAAGCGATCCTTATCAGACAGACATTTTACTGATATAGTTACAATCAAATAACAAACATAATAATGCTTTCAAGAAAACTGTTTACATCTATTTACTTTATTAAAGAAATTTCATTTTTTTCAGGTGTTTTAAACACTGCACAGCTTTTTAGTTCACCCTTACCCTGTGCAAACAATTTAGGTCAAAGTTCAACACCGCCAGAAGTGTTGATTTTCTTAACAGTTTTAGGTAATGCCTTGGTTACAGATAAAACATTTAGAGAGGTATGTGATTTCGGTTCGGCCACACCTGAAGATTTTAAGAGCTTCGTTTATGACTTCACCTACAAGGCAGCCAAAGATTTAAGCTTTGAAGATCTAAAAGCAGACTCTTTTGCCAAGCAAACATCAGGCCCACTGAATTGTGTGGATCCTCTCACTACTGAAAAAGTGTTCCTGATCTATTTTAAATCTTTGGCAAGGTTCATGTCTTCAGCAGGCGTCCTAAACATAACAAACGCCGTCCCTCTGGCTTCACAGTTGGTAGAAGCAATAGACGCTAGTGCAGTAAAAATTTTACATGATGACTGTCCTCAATCGAAAATGCAAACTTTAAGTGGAGGATTCGTTGCCTTTGTGACAAATCTTGGTATTTATTCCCCCCAGATGGCATCAAGTATTGTCTTTTATTTCGGAGAAGAAGCCAAAAGCGCCAAAAAACTCTGATGAAGGTCTTCATATGAAACTATCCTTGATTCTTATATTATAATGCATTATTAATATCAAGATTTTTATTAATGATAAGCGAAAGATAGCAGAAAATAAAATAGTTCCACCTTTTTATGAATAAAAAAACTATTTTGTCTATTGTTTTATTTTTTCTCTGTTTTTATTTAATGATAACATAATAATAACATAGTATTTTAAATAGACGTGTGAAATAGTTTGTGTAGGAATTTTAAGTATTGTAATAATAATCATTGTTAATTAATGAGCTTTTATCAATGATAATGATACCATAGATTATGAGACAATATTTTGTAGATTATGATGGTATTGGGTAACTACATAAAATAATTAATAAAAAGGTTTTTCTGAAATACTACATTTAATCGGGATTTCATTAAGTTAAGGTGAGGGTTAAGGTTAAGTTTAAGTTATTTTTTCGCCTGAGACGCCAGCATCGAGTATTGTCTTTTATTTTAGAACTCTGTCAAAAAACTGTTGAAGATATTCAAACGAAAAGATCTTTGATACATGTGTTACAATACATTATTAATATCATGATTTTTGTCAACGGTGTGTTCTTAACGAAAGATAACGGATAATAAAATAGTTTAACCTTGTTAGAAATAAAAAAAAATAATTTTATCTATTGTTTTATCTTTGCTCTCTTTTTATTTAATGAATCATCCTAATAGCAACACAGCATTTTTAATAGACGTGTGAAATAGTTTGTGTAGGAAATTTAAGTATTGTAATAAGAATCATTGTTTAATTAATGTACTTACATCAATGACAATGATTCCATAGTTTATGAAATAATATTTTGTAGATTATGATTTTAATGGGCAATTACTTAAAATAATTAATAATTTTTTTTTCTGAAGATACTATATTTAATCGAGATTCCATTAAGGTAAAGCAAATAAATTCATATAGTATACTGTAATACTTTAGTATCACGTTTATTAGATCTGAGTAGCACCATGACTTTCATACATAATATACTGTAAAATAGAATATAATGACACATTATAATATATTTTTATAATTTATTTATGATTTGAGGTTGCCGGAGTCCTATGTTAAAAATTTTGAGCATGTTGATATTAAAACTTTAAATTAGGACAAATGTTGATTTCAGGTAAAAGAAATTTTTCCCTTTATAAAAAATTTAAAAATTTAAAATTTTTTTTCTTTTAAAAAAATTAGTCCTTACAAATCAAGTCTCCATTACAATGGACATGCATTTTAAAACATAATTCTTTTTTAACTTACTGACTGCAAAAAGTTTAAACTTGTTCCATTTATAGATCAAAGATTAATTTTTTGATATTGCATTTCTTGGTTTGGCAATAGTTAGAAAATTTTTACAGTTTGCTGTCGTTGAAAATGGCGTTATTCTCCGGTCTTCAAAAAAGTGAGTAGTTTTTAGTTTTCATTTATATAAATAATTCCTTCTAATGTGTCAATGATTTTTAAAAATCTTTATGAGGTAATCTTAGCATAAGTTGTTTTATTTTATAACTGGCAGTAAGTAGTTCAGACAAAATGCAAACCGAATTTGGACATTGAATTCAATTGGTTGTGAATTTTCAGATAGTTGATTAATGCATTTGTTATCGAATTTATTTTAAGCATTTAAATTATTTAAAATCAACAACAAATATAATCTCAAATATTCTACAGATTTGAAAAAAAAAAATTCGGATTAATAAATATATATTGCTAGTGCTGAAGTATCAGATATTCAAGACATGTTGATTGCGTTATTGATAGTGATAATCAATATGTTACAAATGGTAAATTTTGTTAAAATTCATGGAAAATTTCCAGTAAATCGTTTAAATTTTAAATTAGACGAAATTATTATTATTTCAAACTGACTTATATGTATATAGGTGCTGAAGTTTTTGATGGGGGCTGTGATACATAATTTTTTTTACAATCAAAACCGATATTAGTTAGAGAAGAAAATAATTTGAAACAAAAGGTTTAGAGCTTATTAATGAAACTACAAGATTTGGAACAAGATCTATGAGTTCTATTACATTAAGTTCTATTTTGAGATCTATGTCCTGTTGGTTTAACAAAAAATATAAAAGGTTAGATCCTCATTATCGCTTATTTTGGCAAAATAAAAATATACGTCAAAAAGTGGATAAAGTTCTTCTTCATCTCTTACTGATGACTATGGGGTTCATTTGCCAAAATTTGATGATAAACGCAAAACGATTCAATGTAAAAATTACGGTTGCAATGGTGACGACCATATCTACTGCAATAAATGCTAAGTGCATTTACGTTACAAGGTGAAGATAATTTTTTTTCTTTAATTTCCGTGTTAAATAATGTAAAACTCATCTATTTTGGTATATAAAAATAGAAAAATGTGAAAATCATTTTAGTAAATTGGGTATTATTGATCACGTACCTTCTACTATAAAACATTCTTTGTATAAATTTTTGAATATATATGACGACAAACTTTTCTAAAATTTCAAACGTAACATATCACAGAACAAAATTGTGCTATACCATACTATAACCATTTCATGTGCTACCATACAGCCATTCAGCTTTTATGTCACGCGCATACTTTTTGGGCATTTAAAAAGCTTTATAAGATTTTATTTTGAAAGATAGTAAGTATATTTTAATAAAATTTTACGTTTTTCTTATTTATAAGGGAGTAACTATGTGCCAAATATCATCCATATCTAAATGCTGTCTGTATTACTTTCGTTTAGTTAAATTTTGTTTTTGATAATAAAGAGAACAGTGTTGAAAAGTCTGTACCCAAAGAAATCAACCGTAACTAAATTCAGTGCAATAATATCATGACAAAGTATAAAAGAATTTTTTTACAACTGAGTAGGCACAGAGGTATCCTTTTTTACATGCTGTTTATATTACTTGCCTTTATTTAGGTTTGATTTTTAAAAGTTAATAGTAATTTATTGAAAAGTCTATACACAAATCACACGAACCAGATTTCAGTATAATATTACATTACCAGAAAATAATGTTCGACATACTTAGTGATGTCTTTTATATAGAATTTAGCGCACATAAAACAACAAAAAAAAATGTAGCACATGAATTTGATTTTGTCGCAGTGCGTCCATCTAACCATTTGCAAAGTGTCGTCAAACTTTCGGATTGGCAATGCAGAAAAGCACATAATGCTATGCTACGAAAAATGCCAATTTGGATATCTTCTCGTGATAAATTACAATACCATTCCAATACTAAGACACGATTTTCAACAATTAAGAGATTGTGAAATAGACAGGATTATTTTGTTTCAGAACTGTTTATTAAAAAGATGGCTCGTTGTGATTAACGAAATGAGAGCATTTTTACAGATTGAAACATCGTTTTGTTCAGTCGAGTGCAAGATAATGTCGGCAAGATTCTGGCAGACCATGAGAGATGAATGAATTAGTTGATGGCCAAATCCCGCTAATAGTTATCAGGGATAGATCTACATCTGAGCTTGTTGCACGCATCGTACAACAGCCCACCATCCACCACTGGCATCGGGATGCACCATCGTGCGCTACAGCATGATCTATACAAAACGTAATTTTATAATTTCACTATAATGTCGAAACTGTCTGCAAAAAAAAAAAAAAAAATCGAACACGTCGTTTATCTTTGGCATTGAATTGCAGAAGGAAACGTCTTTAGAGATGCAGCTATAGACTGAGCTAGTGTATCCAACAATTAAGGATATTCCTTCTTTTTTGATGAATTTAATTTTTGTTTCTGACACAATGATGGTAGATCATGGGTATATTGTCTTTCAGGAGAAATAAGTGTACGTTATTGGTACAGTCGGCCGAACAAAAAACAAAGGACACCCTCGTTAATTTTCATAACTATCATTAGATCATCAGATATACAGTATCAGTGGGAAAGGCTGGAAGTGAACTAAATTATGGTGCAGTGCAGTTGAATTTCTACATTAAAGTTTTATGTAGAATATTTTAGCTTTAAACAAATGTGATTTACTATTTAATTATTATTCATATAATCAAATTATTGTCATTATTAAACTTCTAATCACTGTTATTCAATGAAAAAAATATTCGATATTATTATGATTTAGAAAGGAAAATAAATAATTTTCGAAAAATGGCAAAGCCCTCTAGAAATTATCCATTCTGAGTATAAATTAGAAATTTTTATGATTCTCTGGACTACGAAGCTTATTTATCATTTTACAATTAAAATTATACTGAAATTATTATGCTGAATTATGCTGAATATACCGGTTCTCGTTAGATCACCGAAGTCAAGCATCATTGGGCGCGGTCAGTACTTTGGGTGACCACCTTGCCGTTGGCAAATTTGGGACCTGAATGGCCGAAACGCTCTGGCGCTCGGTACCACAGGTTTCGGGTTCGAACCCGGCGGTGCCATGGATGTTTGTAGTGGTTCGAATCCACTTTAAGCCGTAGGTCCCGGTCTCCTATGATGCAAGAGCGTCACGGAGCAAACGTCAGACTTTACCTACGGGTGCCATCACAACAGAAGCTGCTTCCTTCCCTTCAATCATGAGTATTTAGTGGGATAAGAAACAACAACAACAACACAATTAAAATATCAATTTAGTGTCCCAATTTCAATATCTGATTCCTTCACAATTTGAAATAAATACCCCTAATAATCTTAAGTACTTATTTTTTAACTGTAGTTCCTAAACTCCAATGTATAATCGTTCTGACTTACAGATTATCTTACCAGGCGGTAATATGAAATATTTTCAGATATGCTGTGCTTCAAAAACTTATCGCGTTAACAAAAAAATCTATATTCACAAACGGGAGAAATGAAATTTAAAACAATAAATTAAGGAAATGTTTTATTAGTAATTTTCATTTTTAAATCTTATCAAGAAGATATCTGGAATGTTACAATAATAAGTCATCTAAAGTATATATTCAAGAAAGCATTTAGAAAAAAAAATGTAAATTTATTAGGATAAATTTTACTTAAATAAATGAAAAACAAGCGAAATTTTGCGTAATCACAAGTCGAAATTTTTTTGTATATATTATTAACGAAATATTTTTCCTTTTGAGTTAAAAAATTTATTTCTAACGTTTTCTCATTCCAAAATTGATTTAATTTTTTTGTTTATTATAAAAGTCTCATAACGGCTATTTTCAGCATAGTTTCGACATGCATGTCAAGTGCAGTTTTTCTATTCTCAATAGGGTAATTATTTTCGACTTTATTGCTACTTCAACAACATAAATATTTGCTACTTGACTGGATTATTAAAATGTCATTTTCCTCTTTTTTATATAGAGTAAATAATCAGTTTATTCGACTACAAAATAATTCTTTGTTAAAATATTTTGCTAAAATCGTTTATTTTTGTTCTAGAAATAATAATAAAAAAAAACATTTCAAATTTAATTTGAATTAATTTCAGAAAATATCCCGCTAGAATCCGATTTTTATCTTTTTCAGATTATAAATACTTGTTCTTCAATTATTTATTCAACGCAGTTGCAGTTTTTAAATAAATGTGTTGAATATCCGGAGTAGCAGTTTTTATAATTATTCCGTTTATTTTGTTTTTTTTAAACTTAAAAATTAAAAAAAAATATGCCTAAATTGTCTCTACGTCGATTTATATTGCTTTATCGCAAAAGTTTTGCCGCAAAACCTATTGTAGTAAAAATTTTATGTTTTCTTTTTACGCGCCACGTATTGTCGCTTTAACACCAAAATACATGATTATTTTGACAAAATTTTATTCCAAAATTGCTTTTACGACAAATGTAATCACCGTGCCGCCAAAATAGTATGCTAAATTTTATTTTGCTATCTCACCTAAATGTATCATTTAGACAAAGATAATAATCGTTGTTACGATAAAATTACGCCAAAATTATTTGCTAATACGCCAATTTTTTTCTGCTATGTCAAAAAAATATTTCAGGCTGTTTACGATGTCGAATTCGAATGATGAAGTAAATTATTTAAAAAGGAAAAAACAGAAAGAAAGAAAGAAAGATACCAAAGAATAACTTACATTATATTTTGATATATCTTTTGTTGGAAGCGAAAATGATCTTTTTATTGCCTTATTGAAGCCTGTCCGTTCATATCCTTATCAAATGAATGAAGAAAATAAGAAAAACTGCATCAGAAAAACCTTTTTTTCTCTAAACTAACGTTTTAAAATTAAAAAGTTAAAATTATCCGCACGAATTCAAATAACGGTTGCCACAAAACCTTAACTATGCCAACAGCATTAGAAGCAAATATCACAAAACAGCAGAACAATTTAATGCATTCGATCGACGTTTTCGCAGAGAACTAATGTTCTAAAAATAAAAGGTACAATTTTTTCGGGGGAATTCAAACAACGGTTGTTATAAAACCTTAATTATTTCAACAGAATTCGAAAGAAAATAATTTTTTTGATAATGAAATATAAGTTATTAATAAATTAAAAAATCGTTTGTCATGTTTGTTTCGTATTTATATGAGTGGCACTATCAAAAATTTTTTTTATTTTCTGTATCACACACTGTAAACATACGGTATAAGAACATTCTCAGAATAATCAATAATTTATAGGAATAAATATTTAAAAGAATATATATTTATGCTCTTTATTCACCATAATTAAAAATTTCTGCAAATAACTTTCAAAGTAGAAATAAATAGTCATTATACCGTTCTGAAAAAGAAATTAAGAATTCCTCTAAAGCATTATAACCCTAAATAAATTTGCTGAACATTGGCGAAATATTCCGGGTTGCAAGATTGGCGACTTCCTCAGGAGTAAAGTATTCTAAATTTCAACCGAAAGCCTTATAAACTCATATATTGCATTAAAAATTATCGAATCTATATCAATACGTTTTCACAGTATGTTTCTTATGTTAAATAATTGTTCTTTAATAGATTAAAGAGCAAGACCATACACATTTATCTGTATTGATCTATATTGAAAATAGGGTACTTACGTATTAACGATACCTTCCTATACGTATAACCTACCTCTTTCTTTCGTTGTTTGCGCCAATAAAGAGCACACGCGCCAACCGCAGCTACAGATTTGGCAGTTTTTAAGTGGCGCCAATCTCCACTTAAAATTTTTGTTCCAAATAATAAAATCCGATAAATCAAGTTGCTTTTCACAAAATTTAATCGATGTCAACTCCTCGCACCAGCAGTATATGAATCTCAAAGCTGTACAAAATGGAATTCTGCTTCCCACAAACCAGTTGTCTTTTCTAAGTCCCACACGATAAGCACACTGACTAAAATTACATTTCCAAAACTTACGTTTACCAAAATAAAGCTTCATGTCATGGGAATTGGGACATTTTCGTTGTTTTGGTAAAATATTTCCCTCCTGAAAAAATAAAATTGCATCTTGTTCTGTTTCTGGCAAATCCCAAATACGCATTTTCGTAGCACTACAAAATGGCTTCAAAACTCAGCAAATCTGCAGCTGTTAGATTGGCGGCACTTAAAAACCGCCAAATCTGTAGCTGTTAGATTGGCGGCACTTAAAAATCACCAAATCTGTCACCAAGGTATCGTTAATACGTAAATACCGAAAATAGTTCAATTCCAGGTCATATAAATAAGACCACAGGATAGTTATTAATTATTTTAATAATTAAATACATTTGTTTAGTAAAATATGTAAATTTCTTTCGTTATTAATCATTAGAATTTCTTACAAATATTTAAAACTTCTTTGAACATTCCTAATTTAAATAGTAAGGTCTCTATTTGTACCTTTACTTATAAATAAGAAAAGGTTAAAAATTATTGAATAAATAAACATAAAAATTGTCGAGATTAAGTAATTATCTTATATAAATAATAATTTTACTATATATTAATCACATTATGTTTCTAAATTGATTTAAAATTAAACATTTTAAATTAAAGCACATAATTTCACAGTTGTATGAATAATAAATTTCAATGTAATGCAACAATTAATTTTGCATTAAAAAATCAAATAAATATAATATGCAATTTAAAAATAAGTTTAGCTTTGTTCATAAATAAAAATGAAGTAACAACAGTAATTTCTCTAAAATTTTATTCGCCAATATCATAGAACATCTCGCCAAATTTATCTCCAAGATCGCCAGTATGATTTTATTTTTAGTCTTTTACCGAGTAAGGTGCAAAATAAAAGCATGGAGCACATTCAAACTTCCAATTCAATGTAGAACATTGTGAAATAATTTTATTTTGAAAATGTATTTATACTTCATCGTTGTGAAGAATAAAAACGTAAAAATCATTTGTTAATTTTGATATTTGATTAAATTTTCTATTAGTTATAAAGAACTTATGTATTAATAACAACCATCTAATATAAATATACAGTGTTAAAGTTATGTCTTAATTAATAAACTCTGCAGGACTCGTTTGAATAACCATTTACCTAATACCTCATAAACTAAAATCATGTTGCATATTCAGATATTAAATGGCATATTCAGATATAGTAAAAAAATGTAAGAATAAATAATTAAAAAATTAATAATTAAATAGAAATATACAATTATTTATAGTATTTACTAAACAATTTTTTTAATATAAATATTTTAACAGCACAGTACGATACATATAAATATTATTTTTTGTAATCTGAATCATACATTCAATTTCGGTATGCACGCATGGACAAACAGATTGCGACTTTTTTGAAATACAAAATATTGTTGCCTTGAATGTATTGTCACTGAATTTATGATTTCTCTAAAGCATTTTAAGTTTAATGCAAATTTATGACACAGTTCCGCAAATTTGGAAAGATAATCTAAAATACTTAATCTTCTCTAAAATATTATTGATTTGGATATATTTAGAGTTTGAAAATTTATTCTTCTAACATTCTATTAAAACATAAACACTTTATATATATATATAGAGAGAGAGAGTTTCAACTGGTTCCAATAGATTCATCCCAGCCGAATCCTCTATTTTTGTAGATTTTTACACCGGTTCCAATAGATTCATCCCGGCCGAACCTACAGTTTCTGTAGACTTCTCTACCAGTCTAACAATAGCTGGACTTTTGCAGTGGGTGTCTAGGGGTGTATTTCCAAACGCATTAACGAAACGTTGTTTCTCTCTCAACAACAATCATTTAATTAAGCACGGTGTATGTACAACGATATTTACATTAACAATTAATGCATCATAATCATATTCTCTCGCTGCTTCTTTTTTCGCGCCCATCTACGGAGCTTCTTTCCTTATTCCACGAGGACCTGTCCCCCTCTCATGGGGTCAGAGTTCAAAGTTGAATACTCCCCCACGTTGTAAACAGCCTCTGTC